CCATGTAGCAAAGCCACCAGCGAGCTGTCGAATGGCACCAAGGCCTTGGAAGTTACAGTGGAGACGCCAGTCATACCCGCACTGATGGGGGACCCGCGCAAGGACGAGTTTCTGGACGCAGATGGGCTGTCGTTGCTGCGCATCGAGGAGCTGTTCTGCTGCTACAAGGATGAACGGGACGACGCCATCTTGGAGGAAGGCATGGAGAGGTTTTGCAATGATCTGTGCGTGGACCCAGCAGAATTCCGTGTGCTTGTTCTCGCCTGGAAGTTTCAAGCAGCCACTATGTGCAAGTTTACAAGGTAAAGTGGGGTTTTATGGATAAACTACTTATAGTAGTTGGCTGTAGATGAAAACTGCAACGGATGTCTAACGATCCTCATTTATTATGGTATTTTACTTGCTGTTTCTCAGTGTGTCCCCAGAGGTTCAGTGTGTCCGGCTTTGCTGACCAGCTCTCAGAAACCTTTCAAAATAATATCCATATGAAACCAGCTTTGCAGCATCATGTGAACAGCTACCATTTGAAGTTGCAATAAAAACTTATTTCAGTGTTGCAGGTTTAACACAGCTCTGAAATATTGAAAAGGAACTGAGATGGCCTGAATAGTTAGTCTTAAAAGAGAAGCACATTTTCAGACAAGAAGTTCAGAACTGGCCCTTTGTAACACCTACAGTAACATAACGCTGTTAGCTCTTAAACACTTCCCTTCTAAAGGAGATTGGCTCTAATATTTTTGACTTTCATCAGGGAAAACCTTTAGTAATACCCATTACTCTGACCAGGCTCTCTAATCTTGAGTGTGTTGCCTACACACAATAAGGAAAAAATATAATGTAGACATGGCTCAGAAAGTTTGGGTCGATACCTAAAGTTCAGTTGGCCAGAAAAGATCACATTTAGGAGAATGTGTATTATAAATTGGCTCAACTTTAATTTGACAAGTGGCTAATTGCACAATACAAGCAGCAAACTGGCTTAATTTTAAAATGGTTCTTGATGTATAGAACTTAGTCTGATACTGAACACAATAAATGTTGACCCTTTATAACCAGCTTGTTTTTAGATGATTTACTTCAAGCCACTTTATAAGATTTTACAGTTTTGACCTTCAGTTTTACACTGTGGACTGGTCCAGCCATCCTACCTCACACACTCACTTTTTATTTTTTCCATGTAAAGACACACACAGCGTCTCTCTGTCAGGTAGGGGACACAGAGGAAATGGATCCTGCTCTGTGCTCTCGCTCGGCAGTTAGTGTTGGAGATGAATAGAGCTGCCTGCTGGCTGGGTCACTTGTCACTGCTCCCCCTCTCTGATTCTTAACTCAGCACTTTTCTATCCAGAGGCTTTGGACAATGCCACACTGTGGTTACCAACATGTTTCATTGTCAACCGATGCTTACTGAAGCTCTTTATATTACATTTGACCTTCACAGCCTATATTGTTGTTGGGCTCAGTAACAAAGTCAAAGTTTATGTGCATAGGTTGAGGCCGGTGACACTGAAGAGACAAATATGAGGAAAAACTTGACATTTAAAGCTTTAACGTAGAGTTTTTAATTGCGTTTCCTAAAGTACAAGGGACCATGGCGTCTTTGTTACTGATGTTTGTTGTGCCATCCTAGACACACAGCCTGTTGTTTGCATTAGGTGACATCACAGTGCTTTGTTGTTTTCTGGCATAATTAGCAGTTAGTTAGCTCTGGTGCTGCATCTATTAGCCTGCAAACCAGAACAAGCTCATGTTTATGTCTGTCTCCGTTCATTCAGATCGATTTCTGTCATTCTGAAACTGATCGGCCAACGGTTTATCTAGAGTGAGACAGGTTTGATAGATCTACTGACGCTCGATGGAAGCAACCAACATAGCTGCCGCTGATGTGGAGATGTTTGATGAATCCGCTACTGAAACAATGCTAAACAATTGGACGTAGACATTTTTCTGTCACTGTGCTATTTCACATGTTTTTTTGACTGGAAACCAATTCCTGTAGCTTTGCTGTGGGAAAGTACAGTCTCTGCTTCTGGGCCACGTGATATTGAGGGAGCTGGTCTAATTTTGTTCTGATATGTGTTCCTGTTTTCTTTGTGTCTTCAGGAAGGAGTTTGTCGACGGCTGTAAGGCCATACAGGCAGACAGCCTCAAAGGCATCTGCTCACGTTTCCCCTGCATGCTGCTGGATGCCCAAGGCGAGGAGAACTTCAAGGACTTGTACCGCTTTACCTTCCAGTTTGGGTTGGACGCGGAGGAGGGCCAACGCTCTCTGCAGCGCGAAATCGCCATTGCCCTATGGCGCCTGGTTTTCACGCAGGACACACCTTCGATCCTGGAGCGCTGGCTGGACTTCCTAGGGGAGAACCCCTCAGGTATTCGGGGCATCTCAAGGGACACGTGGAACATGTTCCTCAACTTCACCCAGGCGATTGGGCCTGACCTGACCAACTACAGCGAGGACGAGGCGTGGCCGAGTCTCTTCGACACCTTTGTGGAGTGGGAGTTGGAGCGCAGGAAAAAAGAGGAGGAACAGGCACTGATGGCAAAGGAGGAAGAGGGGAGGTCTACTGACACAGAGTCTTCTCCTTCAACAGATAGACTTGAAACAGAGGGAAGCCGCGGCTCACAGACTTGGGGGGGGCACTGACCAGGAAACAAGAAATATTTGTGAGCGAGGGAAGGAAATGACCTATAAGTGAACTGTACATCTGTGAATCATCGGATAAATATTAGTATTACCATTACAGCTGTTCATTTTGCTCTCTTTTTCTGTTGGGGTGGGATTCCTGCTTCGCAACTTTTTTTTTTGGTTTTTGAAAGGGCTCAACGAAATGTTTTAAGCACTTCTATTTAAGTTATTGTTTTACTTTTTTCTCCTCCCATGTGTGTTTTTAGTAAATGGACGTGGTCCGTTTGAACCTACACTTTCCTACCATAACCCAGCACAGTAAAGTAAAGGCTTGGTTTTAAAAGCAGGCAAGAGAAAGCCATAACCTTTCCCCACACAGTTGATCCAGAAAGTTCATTTTGACCTGGTAACACTGCTGATATTTTTTGTACAAATACTTAATAACAAGAAGGGAAATTTGGGAAACCTCTATACAAGTCATTTCTTGCTACCAAAATATGAGATTCATCATGGGGGTCGCGTTGGTGAAATTGTCTGGATTGGACTGACGTAGTTAGAGTCTATGCTTTTAACTTGCGGTGCTGTGAGGATGAATTGGTTGCACTTGTATTGCCTTCACACCGGATGGCCTGTAATTACATTGCAAACCGTATCAGATTACAATTATCTCACAAGGGCGATTTACTTTGAAACTAAAACAAGTGACACTTGTATGCTTAACCCGTGAAAGTTGCTACAATAACCATTTAGAACCCAAATTCATTTCCATAGTAACAGACCAACTCTTTTTCCTGTGTTGAGTGTTTTTGAGTGCTACTAGTGCAGTGACTGAGCTTGGCTTGTTTAAGCAGCTGGCTGTGCTTCTTTTTGACCTCTAGCATCTACCATTTTGATGTCCATCTATTTTCTAGAAGCGGTATACACCACAATGATGCTTCTCAGAGGGAAGCTTGTAACATGACAAATGGATTAAAGCTAGGTCAAGGTCATTTCTGAACAGAAGATGCCTAAACCTGTGTTATATTCAGGACCATTACACTGGGCACCACAAAAAGCTTGTATTGTATTGTTTACCTTCATGAGCGCAAGAGTCTTCACGTCCTTGAACTACTATACAAAGAAACAAATAGTGCACACACTTCACAAGTAATGTTGACTGCTGCTGGTGATGGTTGCAACACTTTGCAGAGAGATTGATGTCAACCACATGATTTCCAATTCAAAGATATCCAAACTGTAGATTGAGCTTAAGTAGAGCCTTGGTTGTTTTGGGATGAGTGAATGAGTGGTGGTGAATCAAGAGTCTGAGCTATGGGTCCAGTATGGTGAAAGGGTTTCCATAACCCGATCTGTTTGGTTTACATCTACAATGGTTTTATTTCAGACCCCCCTTTTTGTCCTTTTTTATATAAAATGTATTGATTTATAATAATAAAAACAGTGTTGAACTTTTGATCGTTGACCATGAATGTGTGTGTGACTTTACTTCGGAGATCTCCTCATTTCCATGTAACTTCATGCTCTGCTATTGCTTAATAACATTGCTTGCATACCACTGTCATCAGTGCTGCAGGAGGGGAGTGTGGTTCAGCAGCTCGGGGTTTTGTGCAGGCTTGTATGGTATGAAGCAAAAAAAAAAAAAAAAAGAGTAGAAATAAATATAAATTGAGAAATACAAAAAGAAAGAAATGTAGAACTACAGACATGGATAGACGCAGAAATAAATGAATGTAGAAATATATAAATAAATAAATAAATGTAGCCATTGATACATAAATGTGGAAAAACATAAATAAATTGAGAAATACAGAAAGAAAGAAATGTAGAACTACAGACATGGATAAAGGCAGTAATAAATGAATGTAGAAATATATAAATAAATAAATGTAGACATTGATGCAGAAATGTGGAAATACAGAAATCAATAAATGAATTGAGAAATACAGAAAGAAATGTAGAACTACAGACATGGATAAAGGCAGAAATAAATAAGTGTACAAACACATGTAGAAATAAATTAATGTAGACATTGATACATAAATGTAGAAATACAAAAATATATGTCGAGATAAAGAAACAAATGTGGAAATAAATAAATGCAGAAATACACAACAGCCCTTTTCATCCTAAACTGTATGAATGTACTTATGTATTCATTTATTTATAACTATATTATTTATTGTCCCTCTCAGTATGGATGTGGCAGCAGCAGGCAGTGGGCGTGTCTGATTCCGCTGCGGCTCTTCCCATTGGTGGAGAATCCATCCTGGTTACCAACCAACACAACACACTGCACATGAGAAAACAGAGAGTCGCTGGTTTTAAAGCTTATGGAGAACAAATCGCTATTTTACACAGACAGTACGTATTTTTGAATTATCCCATTAGAGCAATAGTCAAGGTCGTGCACGGATACAAACGCTAAGCTGTGTCATTCCACGATTGACTAGTTACACGCTAACTCGCTAGCCTCTGTTGTTAGCCTAGCGTCACTGCTAGCTGTTTAGCGGTTGCTAGCTCAGCCGTTCGCCCCGGGAGATACACAGTGAGCTTTTAAACAGTTAACTCAAATGATTCTGTGAACTGGGTGAAAACATTAGCTCGCTCTCCGGTGTAAGCACTGGCAGCAGCAGCAGTGAGCGTGTTTGCCGCGAATGCTATCGCAACGAAGGGAGCAGACGTTGCCGCACATCTGTCACATCGCCGCAGCATCGCCCACATGTCGATCGTATGTTAAAATGAGTCCTGGCGAAGACGCTGGTTCGAAATCGGCTGCGTGACATCTGGCATGAACGTGTATTCGTTGTGCTGGATGGCCCAGCGGGTTGGGCCACATTTTAAACCCACCGCATCCAAGGTACTTTAGGTTTCATGTGTGTTCCTCTGCAGTGGTATTCACACACAACACCGACTCCTGTGATATTTCTGGAGAGTGATCGCCTCTCTGCAAGACATGGGATAGTGTGGACAGCATCATCATCTGCAGCCACACAATGGACAACGAGGTAAGACAGGATCTTCGTCATGTGACACCTCCTCTGTCATTTAACCTGATATGAGACACTGTATATTTACAGCAGGGCCTCAGCTGTCACTCAGTTTCTCTTTATTCTGTCACTAACAGATCTTCTCTATTCTTCCTTCACCTTTCTTTGCTTCTCTTCTGCTGCTGACACTGACCGATGCTGTAGCCTAGTTGACTTGTAGCCTCTGAGTAAGGGCTTTGTGATTCCTTTGCTCGTCTTGCATGATGATAATTTATTTGATGTATTCTGGGATGGCATGAGCTGTACGTGTCCATGTTATGTATACAACCACCGATGTCCACTGACTGCCTGCTCAGTTTTCTATGTTACATGGATAGTGTGGTTTATTGTGTCTTGTGTTGTTATTAAATGTGACTCTGATCTGTGGAGTACAGCATTTTGCTCCCTGTATTGTGGAAGTGACGAATACAGCTGAATCTGAATCTCTGTCAAACTTACCCCCGGCTGAGGGTGAGGAGCCGGCAGACATCTGATGTTTTAACGAGGATGATTTCATTTTAGTCGAGTCAACAAATGCTGGCTGTTGTGATTTGTACGTATAAGATATTGTGTTGTTCTCCACTTTATAGTTGCATGACATGTAAAGTGATCAAAGATCTGGGAAACGTGTTTGTCGATGCTAGTTTATTTAGAGCTGCACTTCATTTATCATGTACCTTAATGGAAGCTTCTGTTCCTCACTCTTTTCAAGAAGACCCTAAATTAGATAAGACATGGACTCGTACAAGTATTAGAATTATTCCACAGGTATTTGGCAAATGCCGAGTCAGTACTTCCCCCTCAGTTAATCCATGTTTTTCCGCTGGGCTCTTTTCCTGTGATTACTTTTCCTCCTCACCTCATATCAAATTTAAAAGTCTGCAGGCCAACAGGCTTAACTAAATATTGAGATGACAATGAAATCATCACGAGAGAACGATATGTATCATGCAGACTTTAAGAAACACATTCGATTGTCACATCCTGCTGTTTTCAATCGATGAGCAGTTCTTTTTAAGGGGGTGACCCACTGCATGCTCTGTGTTGTGTCTTTATTTATTGTGAAGAGCAAGTGGTTTGCATCAATCTTGTGATGTATTAAATTAAGTGTTTTTAAGTTTGTCGCTGTGAATACCTGTGCAACAATGATGTGTATTGTAATCTTGTTTTCCTAAAACAGCTGATGTAGGTTTTTCTGACTCCTTTGTGTGTGTGTGTGTTCTTAAAGGAGAGCAAGGCGTGCCAAGAAGAGAAGCTTGCCTCTGCTGTGGATGACACTCTGAATGAATATTTAATCGCCCTCCAGCACAAAAACAGGTGAAGTGTGAGCACAGACTGTTGGGGAGTGACAGATTCGATTTCACAGAAGAGATACACAACTGCTTTCAGTGCTGCCTAATAGGAGCACTGATTGGTTCTTTGCATTGATAGCCCCAAAAAAAAGCATTTGAAATGTGGCAAAAGCAAATGTTTGAAGTTCTTTTGAGTCTCTTCTCAATTTTAGTTACTAGTTTTCTTTCCTCCTCAGGATCCTTAAGCGCCTTAAAGCCAAAGACCCCAGGGACATTGAGTTGGAAAAGCTTGAGCAGGGTTTTTCCATATATCTTAATGGAGCCAATGCTGAAGCCAGTAGGAAGCTGCCCAAAAGCTCCAGCCACAAGTCTACTACCTCCTCACCTGCTTTGAGGCCTGAACGCACAGCAGGTATGTTGCTGCCGGACAAAAATAAACCAGGCACTCAAAACTAAAAATCAATTCGTAGATCTTTAAATCTTTTACTGCATCGTTGTACAAAGGCGACTACCAATCTTGAGGATTCAGTCATTTTCACAATGAAATCAAACAAAGTTCATCATACTCTATTCTTGACGCTTCTGTCATCTGCAGACCATATGAAAACCAGCTAACAGCCGCCATTCCCCAGCTTGTAGTTCGCATGGCACGAACCTATGCCGTTATCTCAGTGAATAAATGATAGTGACAGTTGTAGCTGGCAGCCAGTTTCTCGCTCTTCCTCTTTGTGCTGTGGACCATCTGCGTATGTGACTGTGTGTTCCTTCTCCTCTGAGGCTTTAGTCTGCTGCACGCTGCTCATGTTCTTTTCTGTGCTGTGACTCATCGGCAGATGTCTGTAGAAGTGCCCACCAGTTAAGTGAAGACAGCCATAATCTGGAGCAAGCCCACGGGAAGAGGAGCCACACAGCCCCAGGAAAGGTCCAGAGGAAAGAATGGGTGCAGGTACAGGCCTCACACAAGATTTTTTAAAAACCTTGATGCTGTAAATCTTTTATAATAAAAGTATAGATAGTACACATTAAATTCTTCTGTCATTTGTGCAGAATTCTGTCAAAGTTCGAACAGAGGAAGGACCAAATTTACTGTTATCTCCAGAAAAGCGCTACTCTGAGGATTTTGAGCCCTACGAAAGCTTAGACATGGAGGTAGAGTGAAGACACAACAAAGCCTAATAAGCCTGTGTGTGTGGGTGTTTTTTCTAGGGGAGGGGCTCTGTGTCAGAAGCAGCTGTCTCTACTGCTTAGCGTCTCTCCATCTTTGCCATTTCCTCATTATCAAATCACTGTGTTTCCCACAGAGCTCGAATCCGCGCTCTCCTCACAGTCCCTGCTCCCCCAGGGACACATGCAAGGTGACGCGCTCCTTCAGCTCCAGGCCTGAGAGCCAGGGAGGTCAAACAAGCCAGGAGCACAGTGAGAAGGTGCTTCTCAACCTGGAGGAGGTGAAGGTGAGCGGATGAAGACTTATGCATACTGTTTTATTCAATCTTGTCCAGGTGGCATAAGATAAACTGTATCATCTAGATGTGTTTCATGCTCTCGGGCGTTCATTTGTCATGATTTGTCACAAAAATCGAGGGAATGCTTAAACTGTCAGTATGCACGTGCTTGCATACTGATGACTGCGTGCATTGATGCCTACATAAACGCTGACCTTTTGTAAACTAGGCTCTGCGTCGGAGCCTGGAAGTTAACATGAGGCGGAGCAGCCGCGACTCCGCGGGGGAGGAGTCGGAGGAAGAGTGGGTGGAGGAGCATATTGAGAGAGAGGAGAGCACCGAGAGTCTGGATGAACTGGGGCTCCCTCTTTCATCCTCCAAGTCCTCCTCTAACCCTCGGCCCAGCGGCTCCCACAGCCATTTTGACTCTGCAAACCTCATTGTCCTGGACTTTGCACTCTCACCTAAAGGTAGGCAGCTTTCACTTTCGTATGTAAATGTATATTGATTTTTAGGTTGAATCTTAATTGTCCAAAGTGGCTCCGTCACAATAACATAAAATACTGAATGGTTCTGCTCTGTTTGTGGAACACAGAAAGAGTGAGACACTGTTGTGCATACAAAATATAAAAGGTATTCACTGTTCCTCCCTGACTTAAAAAGTGTTCTCTATTCTTCTAGGTCGTAAGATTCAACGTTCTCTGTCTGCAAAAAGGAAAGAAAACATTGACACCTACATACAAACCAAGCCTATGTTGGTGAAGAGCAAGACGTTAGATAGGCCACCTTCAGCAGAGACCTGGGATGGTCAGAGTAAGTATTTTTATTTAAGGCTAAATATTCACATTTTCAAAGTCTGACATGAGAGTCAAGATTCACTCTTAAATGTAAAGACTGCAGATTAGACATTTTGGAATAATCTCTTGATACAAGCCCAAATGGTTGTTGCTAAAAAAAAATGTGCTTCTTGCTTTAGGGCCAAGAAGTCGTGTGGAAAGGCCACTGTCAGCAGCCAGAAAGGCTTCTGTTGAGGAGCGAGACCCAGAGGAGATGGCGTGCCGGGTTCGCCAGGCCATCCAGAGGGAAAACGACTCTGTGCAGAGTTCAGAGCTCTTCAGTCGCAGCACGGTCCGCCTCACACTGCACATCTTTACTGCATTCAGGCCATCAGCTTCTACATACATGTTTCTCTACAATTGACAGTTGGTGTAATGGTGATCTAGAACATAAGAGATGGCCTGATTTTTCTTTTCACTGTCTTCCCTACATGTAGTATATGTGCTCTTGATTTTAATTCATTGATGGTGTTCTGGATTTAGCTTACATGTAAACCCTGTCCTTAAAGCTTATTTATCTTTCTGCTTTCTCTTCATCTAGGGCAGGGCACACCAGATAATAAATGGCTTAGTGCACCACAACACCCACGACAAGAATGAGAGCAGTGTTAGTTTGGCTATGCAGAGAATCACTCTTATGGGCCCCAGGTATGTTGACAGAATACAACACTTAAACACAGATGCTGTAAATTCATCTGTCCTCCGATGGGTAGAAGGACACCTGGTACACACAGTGTCAAAACAAACATAATGGTGTTTTATAGAAGCAACCAAGAACAGTAATTTATGGTCTGTATGCATCCTGACCTTGAAGAATAATTTATCAGTGTAGCAAAAACAGTGGTTAGCCATCCCTCACCACTAATGTGAAGGTCAGGACAAGAGGCGAAGCAGCAGAGCTGAGGATGTCATCCTTTTGTTCAGGCAACAACAGAAACTGCTGATGGCCTTGGAGAAACTTGAACCTGGGCCCAGCTACAACATTCCTCAGAGTGTCAAAACAGACTGTAGCAAGCAGCCGGTGAGTCAGTGACTCCGCCACACAGTGCAGATGTGAATAATCCTGTATCGTACAAACATTGTTAACAGAAGCACTTTTTAATGATGTATTTCATCGCAGAGAATTCAGCCCTCAGCAGAGGTCACCCCAGCATTGTATGTTACCATGGAGATCCTGTCGAACTGGGGGAACGCTTTGCAAGTCGGGCTGACGGAGCTGCAGTTCTTCTGTCTCGTAAAAAAGAAGCTGTACGTTTCGCCGCACGACCTGGACATCAGGAACGCTGACTTCCCCGGGAACCTGGGGGCACTCGTCAATGGAAAGGCGAAGGTGAGTCTTTGCTGCGTCAGCATCTCGTTTGAACGGTTTCTGCTTGTATGTAAGCACAAATTCAATCTACATACAAAATGACCAATTAGACCCTGTCCCTTTTGAATATACCTTTTGTTGAGCCCATTGTCCTCTGTGAGTCCTTCCCAATGCCCTACACCTTTATATAATTACACTCAAGCATGTGCAACATTTTATTGTGTAGCTTGCCATACAACTGAGATATATAATTTGTCTATATATTTAGTTTTTTTAATATATTGTTACATTCGAATAATATAATAATTTAAATGTGCATACAATATTTTGGTAATAATTTATTAATCTTCACATTTACATTCAATCTTCTTTGGATTACACTGAAACATGTCTCACAGCAGATATTTTGACTTGTCATTATGGCTACAATAAAGAAACTAATGCTAAATAACAGGGCCCTAAAGCACATATATCATTAATTAAACTTGTCCGTGGTGTAAAAGGGATATTCCATCTATTCTCTTGGGTTGACAGACCACCAAAGAGCGTCACATGTGGACGTGTCCGTACCACCCTCCTATCCAGCTCTACTTCATCATCAGGAACACGGAGCGCTCCCCAGACTTTGGAATATCCCGCATCAAAATCTGGAACTACAACAGAAGCCTGAATGTACGTGCTCTTTAATTTAGTTTCATCATTTGGTCATTACAGTTTCTAAAAAGTCGAATTGTTATGAGGCATAAGTTCAGCCTAAGTGCAATCTGTCCCATCTCTCCTCACATCTTCAGAGTTATCCCCCTCCCTCTAGTCCAGATGTTTCCATGTGCTCATAAATCCCTCATGCTTGTGTGTTGTCACTATCGCACGGGGTGACTTGTGTTGGGGTGGTAACATGAGAGGTGTGGTTCTCTTTAAGCAGTGGCTGGCTGGGCTGCCACTCAGGCTGTCCAAATGTGGAACAGTGAGAGATTAGCCCCAGAGGATTAGTGATGGGGGAAACGTGGGCTTCTGCTTCTCAGCTTCACTGCTGTTCATAGAGGGGCACAAAAGCCCCACCATATCTCTTTACATGTTACTACGATTGTCCAGAGTTACTTGTGTCTTCAACCTGCAAGGTAAGAGCAATAGATTGTCATGTGACCTGGGTTTTTAGAAGTTTACTGTCCTGAGGATCGAGCTGATTTGAGTTTGGGCTTCAGCCATTTCTTCATGGTAGCCATGACTTTGTATCTGTGAGCGTGCTAATTACTGCTAGCGAGGGGCACTCTGCATGTTCCATGAACTGTGATATACTTTATTGCTCCTTTTGCTTTGAGGTTTATAATTTGACCTACTTTGCTTTGATTCAAATAATAATTATGTACTCAAAATATTGTTCAGTATACAAATATGTTGTCTAAATATGTACAATATTTTTTGTGTAGATCTTAGACATTAAAATCTGAATTATTTGGGTATTTACTAACATCAACAGGTGTTGCTATGGAAGCTGTGAAATATGGCTCAAAGTTGAAGGTGCAGGTAAATGAATGCCCTGTTTGTTTTTTAGGAGCTTGACATTGGTGCACGGCATATTAAGCTGTACCTCAACAGCACATTGGTGTTTGAAGGTGAGCTGGAGAGGGGCTGCGGCAACCAGGTCTATGACTACAGCACCACGATTGATCTCCAGGATTTCCAGATCCCAGACTCTGTGTTTTCCAGCCCTGTGTCTTCAGGACACAATCTGCGGGGGGTCAGCCCCCAACGCCATGAGGACAGGAATGGTGGGGAGGCCAGCACCATCCATCAACACCACATTTCGAATGCACAGCTATCAGACACCCCAGGCCAGGCTATGATAGACATGCAGGAGAAATCACATACACCGCTACCACCGATTACTCCTTCAGAAGTGGGGGTTTCATCCTCCTCTCGCCACTCCTCCACGCAGAGAAACTATTTCGACCTGTCTGCCTCAGAGGAGCCCCTCTCTCTCAGGCAGCAGGTGGTGCAACCAGTGCCCATGGAGCAGACTGTCACTACCCAGCCGTCCTCGTCACGGGTGGCCCCCCAGTGGCTGCAGCCACTGAACAGGGAAGTAGCAGAGGGCTGTGAGGCCGGCAGGGAGAGGCCCAGGTGGCTTGTGCCTCAGCACTCAACAGAGCCCAAATTACCACCGGTCTCATCCTCTTCAATGCTCCCGGAGCTGCCTTGTAACCCAGGCCGGGTGTGCAGAGGGACGGAGAGCGCAGTGAATGGGAGTCAGTGGAAAGCTGACTCTCTGGACCTAAGCTGCGACCTGCTGGAGGAGCTTGGGGAGCAAAAGCCAGACAGACCCATCAGTGGACGCAGGAGCTCATTTCGAAACAGTGTAGTTTCCGTTTCTGCCAAACAGATGGAGGAGCAGAACCTCAGAGCTGCAAAACTGTCAAACACAGGTAGTCAATGCTACGACCTTCAATATGTGAGGTTATCATTATAAGACAGAGGGACACCAAAGTTATTTATTATTGGTTATTTAACCCATGTACATTTTATTTCACCTGTTGAGTTTGATATTGGTTATTTTATTAAATTTAGGAATTTAATATTTGCTATTTAGTTATTAGTAAACCTATTAACAATTTTCTTATATTCATTGTTTGATAATAAATGCTAAGGCAGCTCTTGTTTCCTTCAGTAATAGCAATTGTTTCTGTATTTTCCAGAGGAGCCACTGTCATTGGTGAACACCAACAGGAGGCAGTGTTTGTCTCGAGCCCAGCTGCACAGCCAGCAGGATGATACCCTCATGGAGTCCTGGGACTCCCTCATTAAATTCAACCAATGCCAACGTGGACGCATCTCCAACATGGGCTTTGAAGGTGACATCTTTGATGAGTTCATCCAGCGGCAGGGCCTTGGTCCCCCCACAGTCCCATCCAATCCCTCCATTGCACCCAGGAGTCCCCTCTCCTCCTTGACTGCTCAGGGGACTCTGTGCGACGTCCCTGACGATGATCCATCCATGGAGCGGGAGGAGGAGTTTGAAATCCCGGTGCTGCCGCAGGGTCAAAGGCTGGTCATCAACATCTTATCTACCTGGGGCGATCGCCACTACGTCGGCCTCAACGGTCTGGAGGTGTTCAGCTCCAGTGGAGAGCCTCTTCGACCTGATGACATCCGTGCTGATCCTCCAGACATCAACATTCTCCCTGCATATGGCAAAGACCCTCGTGTTGTAACCAACTTGACTGACGGCATCAATCGCACACAGGACGACATGCATCTTTGGTTGGCCCCGTTCACACCTGGTCGTAACCACACCATCTTCCTGGACTTCGGAGCTCCCTACCAAGTGGCCATGATCCGTGTGTGGAACTACAACAAGTCTCGCATCCACTCTTTCCGAGGGGTGAAAGAGGTGGAAATGCTCTTGGATGGAAGGTGCATCTTCAGGGGAGAGATTGCCAAAGCTTCAGGCACCCTGTCTGGAGGTATCTGAACGGAACGAGCGCCGGGTTTTCGTCTCCATTTGTTGTTTTGATCAACTTATCCTTTCTTCTTACACTGTTGTCTTTTTCAGAGCTGGACCAGTTTGGGGACACTATCCTGTTCACCACTGATGATGACATCCTGGAGGCCATGTCTCGTTTTGATGAAACCTTCCTCAGTGAAGGTGAGGATCGTGAGAGTCTGGTGAATGAGGAGGAGCTGCAGAGGCCGCGCACCGCCGATGGAGAGGGAGAGGAAAGACCCTTCACACAGGCCGGTTTCCGAGAGGAAGACCTCGCTGTGAGTACAGGCTATTACACAAATCTCCATCATACCATTAAAGTCTCTTATCATTGCAACCCTCGTCTTCACACCATCAACAGAAGAGTGGAATATAATAACGTTTTTAATGTTTTCACATAATTTCTTAGTTGAAACTTCACCTCAATCCCACTGTTAGCCAGTCTGAGGAGAGCATGGAACATATTCCAGGGATGTTCACTGGAAAGTGTGAGTAAAGCAACAATATCCTGTCATCACATGTTCTGTTCAATTTTTATTTAGAGTTTATGTCTAGGTGCTCAAAATAACCGTCTCTCTTCATCCTCCAGTCCTCAGACTAGAGCTGTTGTTCACTTGGGGGGACTCCCACTACATGGGCCTGACTGGATTGGAGGTGGTGGGGAAAGATGGAGAGTATTTACCTTTAGACCTCAGTGCAATGGCTGCGTCACCCAGCGACCTCAACGACCTGCCTGAGTACGGACACGACCTGCGAACACTCGATAAGTACGTCTCACAAAAAGTGTTTCATGTGCTAGAGAAAAATCTAATATCATAATAAAAATCCACACTCTTTATTATGTCTTTTCGATATCCAGGCTTGTTGATGGCCACAACATTACCACGGATGACCAGCACATGTGGCTGATCCCTTTCTCCCGTGGAGAGCCCCACACCCTGAACATTACCTTCAACAAGGCCCAGACCATCGCAGGACTCCGCATCTGGAACTACAACAAGTCTCCTGAGGACTCTTACAGAGGGGTGAGATACTTCTCTGTTGGACTCAGCCACAAATTGCTGTAAATAGCACTAGTGATAATACAACATGTTTATTAAGCAGTATGACGCTGTGAAACGACAAATTCCATTATTGTGTCAGTTCTTTCAGCTGGTACCAGAGATCAGCTGATGTTTTTAGATTCATACAGGTGTCAGAGAGAGACAGTGTGGAAAACTAAAATAGAATTCACACAGGAATTCAGCACACGATTGTCAGGCTGCGTGAAACATCACATAGTTCACACCTAAAATGTGATAAAGCTGCTGTGCGAGGCTTGAACTAGCTTCTAGAGTCAACGGAAGTGTTCTATTCAGTAGATTATATACCACACATAACACAAACAAATATCTTTGATTTTTGTTCAGGTGAAGTTGATCCATGTTTTTATGGACGATGTCGCAATCTCCCCAACGGAGGGATTCCTGATCAGGAAAGGACCGGGCAACTGCCACTTTGACTTTGCACAGGAGATCCTCTTCGTCGACTTCCTGCAAACGCCCACAGACAAGAGTGCTGAAGACTATCATAAGTAGGCGGAGTTTGCTTTCACTCAAACTCCTATTTCAGGAGAAATTAAGAACTTTAATTTCCTAATTTCTAATTTTGTGGTTTCTAATTCAGAGTGAGCTCTAAGAAACAAGAGCAGGCCAGCATGGACTATGAAGCTCCCATCATGCCTTGTGGCTGTATCCTTTCGCAAACCATAGCAGAAAATGATGGTTTGGACAGCTGTGTTTTCGCCCCTGTTTGCGGTTCACATGTAATATTTAGATATTCGGAAATGAGCAGACCAGATTTGTGGGTTCAGACAACATGAATCCATCTGCATCTGTTGCTTTGGTAACAGCAAAGACATGCACGTGTGCACTAACGGATATTTTTGAACACTGAGGAACAAATGCCGGCTGGAGAAGGAAGATAAGAAATGTTTAGTAAGACTGAGCCGAAGTGCAAACTCTACCCAAATACCAGATCATTAGCGGAGGATAAAACCATGAACACTGTGTATGCAGCCATGTTAAATGATACTGTCACAGCTGGCTGACACTCTAAGCACAACCTGTGTACCATCATGAATCAATGAAAAATAGAGGACCAGGCTTTATATGTGGTATTCCAGATGACCCATGTTGGACATTCCTTGACCCTAACCCATCAGTCATTTTTCAGCTGCAGCTTTTAACAACCTGGGGAGATCCGTACTACATCGGCCTCAACGGCCTTGAGTTTTACGACCACAACCACGAGAAGATCAGTCTCAGTGACAACAGTATCCTTTCTTATCAGTCAACGGCAACCTTCATGCATCTATCTTCACTAACCTGTGCTCTCTTCACCAGCAGTAACAAATCCACATTTTATTTCATGTGGTCTGGTTGTTGTTCACTTCCAGATTTGTAGTTTATATCTACAGACAATGGGTTAATACACGTGATATCCAGTGGACTTCATAGATATTGGTATTATTAGTTACTGAAAATGTAAGAAGGTATGCTATAAACTTGGTTTAGCAAATCATTACTGCAGTTTCTATATATATAATCTGATTTTAAAAGTTTTACTCCACAACCAGTCCTATTCTGATTTTATTTAGAAGGAGAGGATGCATATACTTTTAAAGACATGATAATAGTTACTAATAAATGTCTGTTCCTTGACATGTCCACCAGACATCGCTGCTTTTCCCGACAGTGTGAACGTGCTGGACCATGTGAGTGGTGACGTGAGGACGCCAGATAAATTAATAGATGGAGTCAACAGTACCCTTGATGGAAGACATATGTGGTTAGCCCCGGTTCTCCCAGGCCTGGTGAGGAAGTGTGTGTTTGTCTGTGTGCGTGCCGTCAGTTAACACACTCAGATCAGAGTTTGCAGTTAGGTGTATTTCTTGTTGCCATGCAGGTGAACCGTGTGTACGTCATCTTTGATCAGCCGGTGACCGTGTCGATGATCAAGCTGTGGAACTACTCCAAGACTCCACAGAGGGGAGTGAAGGAGTTTGGGGTACGCGGCTCTGTCTATTATTTGGGCATTAATGTTTTTAAAGTCAGACATCAGGCAGCAGAATTTGAATGTCTCCCTGTGTGTTCAGCTGCTGGTGGACGACCTCCTCGTCTATAACGGCATCTTGGACAGTGTAAGCCACGCGGCACGGGGCATTCTGCCAACCTGTGATCCAGTGGTGCCCTACCACACCATCCTGTTCACGGACGATGCCTACATCGCACACCGTGAGAGGAACACTGTTATCAGGTATGAAAATACAGATTGCCGGTCAGGCCTGCATCTTTTCCAAAACACGCATGTGCCATGTGTCATGCATGTTTCCTTTTGGTCTTTTTGCAAGTTGTGTACATAAATCAGACTTTGTCCAGCAGCTTGTTTATAGACAGTCGACTTTTGACTGTGAATTAATTCAAACATGTAACGAGGGATCGGTTGAAACAGAGACAAAAATTGTTTGACAAAGTATAGTTTGTTCAGTCCCTCTGTTAGGAGTAGTGAGTTGTTTTGAACGGAGATGTGCTCTTCTCCACCTCAGCCCCCGCGGCAGCCGCCACCACCAACAGTGAGTAACTGAGCCCCTGAAAGCCTCGTGTCAGCACCTCCCTGTGGTCAATCCCTGTATTGAAGATTCCTCCAGTGCCCTCAAACGCCCTGCAGCAATGCCACTCCCTCCTTCCCACACACTTGACTTGTGATACCTCAGTCCCTCTCCCTTCCCTCCTCTCTCCTGTTAACTCTCCAGCTCCACCTTTGGTCTCAAAGCCTGGACCTTCTGGCTTCGGGCTTTGGTATCAGTCACTCCTCCATTTCGTGTCTTATCTCTGTCCCAATTTCCCACAGATGCAAAAGATTAACTGCTGTTTCTTCCTTTCTCTTGCTGTGTTGCAGTAATTATGTGGAGGATCAGGATGTGAAGATGACCAATGAGAACCAGATAGTCCATCACAACAAGAAGAAGCAGACGGCCGATCCAGGTGAGTCGGGGGAAACAGCTGAACTTGGATTAAAGCTTTTTTGGGCACAGACACTCAGCAGTTTAAAAACTTTAATTGCTCGTTCTCCCCTTAAACAGCTCTTCGACCTAAGACCTGCATGACTGATGGTGGGAAACATGGCAAGAGGAGGTACTGACTTTTTAAAGCCACTTTCTGGTGGGTGACCTCTGAAAACCTCCCTCACAATGAGATCCACATCAGCCACCGAGCCGTGGTTTGTAGTGTTGGCTTGACATGACACTGAAGAGGACAGAGGCTGAACAATGGGTTCACACACACTCTCACAGAATTCCACTTTATGGTTGGATCACTCCCCTTCTTCCCTTGCTCTGTCCAAACACCCACACATACATATTATCTCTACCACGTACCACGTCGTTGCCCTGGTCGTCCATCCAACAGTGCCAGGATAAATCTGTGAGGCTGCATTTTATCAGCCCTGTTATTGTGCCTCGTACCTAACACTATATCTGTGGCTGCTACTTGTGACTTTTGTGCTGCATATTTAAATGCTGCTTGTGGCGTGTTGAGAAAAAAGAAAGAAAAGAAAGAAGATCACATCAGGATGTGGCTCATGCTACATTTCTCACTGATCCACTGATGAGCCTGATCGATCAGCTCGTTGTCTCGTAGGTCTGAGACCTGGCGAACACTCCCTACCACCAGTTGTAATGCTATGCAGACACTAATTTATATCTATTGATCATTTATACCTGGTAGCTATTATATTTCAAAGCTAGTGGTTTTACTTTGGGAAGTGCTTCCACACAGGTTTTGACCTTTTACAAGATTTGTATTGATGATGAAAGTACAAGTAGTCACTTTTGTACTGTTCAAGTAAAATTAAAAAAAGACAACTGCATGTACAACTTCAGAGAAAATGAAAAAAATGTCAACATATATTTGGCTCTACAGGACTTGGTCAGTTGTTTTCTGCGTAGCATCAGGTAGAAAAAACTTGTGATACAAGTGACCTTTTATTGAAGTTGCTGTAAGGTAACTCATTTCCTGAGCCAGTAATTTTAGTAATTTAGTCAGAAATGGAAATCTACATTTTCCAGTTTAGATTTTGAGCAGATTCATTAACAGACAACTTCTTATATGCAAATACTCTCAACTTACCTCGAATTGATCCGAATCATTTTTAAAAAGGGATAAATGTGGTCGTACCTTCACTATAGTTCTTGGCACTTGGTGTTATACTACTCACTCATTCAATATTTACTGTACTATCTTGTTGCATGGGAAGGTTTCTTCAGCATTAACTGTTGTTATCATCTAGAAATGTTAAGACACTTTTGTTCGGAGGAGTTTTTACTGCTTCATTGAGGCCAGATATAAACTGTTCATTACTCCTAACACCAGATGGGGAGTCGTTGTATATGAAATGCAGTTTTATGTATTTAATTTCTTTAAGTCCTACAGCAGCAGTAGCCATTACTCAGTCCTGCTCTGTGGGGTGGTGGCTGTGATTGTATGTATGTAACTTTTAGTGTTTTGAAATATTTAATTATTTTTCTAATCTTGATTGAATATGTATATCTGATGTAGGTTTATTTGATTGAATAAATTCTAAAATATATTTGTGTATCTTCCATCGGTTTCATGAACAATATCAGAAGATGTGTCAGCTTTGTGACAGTCAGTCACTTGACCTCGCACACTTCTCATCAAAGCCAAATTATAAGCTGTGTCTCAATTCAGGGGCCGCATCCTTCGGAGGATGCTGTGTACTAGTCCAAAGAAGGAAGCTCTCTTCTTAGGCTGGGAAGGCGGAACAGAAATTAGGTGGTCTACAGGCACTTGAACTTATGTCAGACACATTTCAAGGAGACTTTGAGTCAAGACAACGTGTCTAGTTGCACTTCTGTGACAATCAGACTTCAATTGCAGCCTCTGAATGGAGACACAGCTGCTGTATCTTAATCGTACTCTGGTGGGATTAACCTCTCACTGTAGAAAGAAAAAAAACACAAGGTACAACTGAGGTCCATAAATATATCCTGAGATATTTTAATTCAGTATTCACTGTACATTTCATAAGGTATGAGGGGAATGACCATTCAGTGTCAGTGTATTCCTGGGACAGAGCACCAGTAGTGGAAAGGTGGTGCAGTAGCCACTTGGTCTCCCAACCACATAGAAACATTTAGCTGAGAAGATTACATCCTCGCAATTCAACATCCTTTGGAGTCGACAATCTCAGATTTTTCCTGGGAATGTTCCCTCTTCTCTCTGGTCATCCCACTTCTGGATCTGAAGGGACAAGATGTCAGAGGGAAACTTACTTTGTGACATAAAGATAAATATAGAAAAATTCTTGAAAACTTCCCAGACGGCTATTTGGAATAGTTGGAAACTCCATGACTAAATGTGATGTCACAACGTGCTGTGACATCACTTGCCGGACCACAATACTCTTCCTCAAAAGGACAAGTGATGCTGTCTAATGTTTGAGAAACTCTATTTTAAATTCTTCCGTAAACAGTCACTTAGAATCCACTTCACCTTCCTGTATATTTATTGAGCTGAGAACTTTTTCAAGGGGGATCTTCAATCTCTAAATTTGGACTGAAGCTCTTCATTTTGTTTTGATTCTCGTTACAGAGCAGGAATGCGAGGAACGATAAAGTTGTTTGACCCCTGCTAAACAAACTCAGCCCGCATGGGGAGGGGGGGTACCATGTAGCAGCACTTGTCTGTGTAATTTTCTCAAACTATCTCATTGAATTATTCAGATGTGAAAAAAACAACTTACCCAGGATATGGGGCAGAGGGATTTGTAGACCCTCTTGTACCAATCACAGGGCATGGTGTCTTGTCCTTTAGCATCCAGAGCTTTCTGGCAGCGGTGATAGTCTATTAATAGAGAAACAATAACAATGAGTATAAAAAAAGAAGGACCATTCACTCCACAAGTCAGCGTCCTCGATCTGGATTAGCTCCAGCTCAGAGGTCAACACTTTTTGAAAGACCTCAGGTAAAACTGCATCAGCTCCACAGAACTCACTCAGATTGAAGGTATAAAATATTTGATATTGTTTTTATAGCACAGCATGTTTCCAGAATTTGAATATACTCTCAGATCTGTATTGTATATCCATTCAGAGTGCTGTGGAGCCACAAGTGACAGCTTTGACCTTGAGGAGCACAACAGGCAGTCTCACCCAGGTAGTTGGACCAGCAGTTCCTGGTCTGGTTCTGGTTGGGGAACCTGGCGTCAAAAGGAGCAGTGCGATAGTTCTCCAGTTTGGTCTTGATGTCCTCAGCCATGGTCACCTCTGTCGAGAGAGGATCATCAGTTTGTGCACTCACAAGACCCAGATTTCTCCCCAGCACCTAGACCCAGCAAACCACGGCTCACTTCTTAAATCGATCCAAATGTATGTTTTGAGCCCAGAGACAGAGCGTCTGTGGAGCTGCAGCTCAGGTGTGACCGGGGACAAGCGGAGGCTCTGCAGGGGCTTATTTTGGGGCAGAAGATTTAGGTCGGCTGCATGCCAATAACGATTATATTCATATCATCGAATATTCACTTCATAGAGAAAATACACGGATCAACACATCACTGCAGGGCTGTCAGCTGTCCGACAGACGTCTAATGGCTGCCGCTCCACCAGACAATTCTAGAAAATGGTGACATTAAAAAACATAAGCGTAAGGATATTGGTAAACAGGTTTTCAATACAGCCTCGTCACCAGGCCTTTGCGCGCATTTCCTCCTACAACACAGCCCAGTTTCTCTTTCTATATCAAACAACACATGAACAACTATTTGTCTAATTTATCGTATCAAGGTGATTAATAACTAAGGTCAAATAAACCGTGTGCTGGAAAAAAATGTACATGCGGAACTTGTATTTCCTGACGCGTGGGCTCAGCCTTAACTTATTCTTGTTAATGCATCATTAATATATGCATGCAGCCTTCACTGTCCGTGTTCTGTGAGTGTGGTGGGAAGTATGTGTTAAAAATGTGAAGCTGAGCAGGTGGATGTTACCTGTGTAGTCGCTTGAGTCGCTGGTTCGAGCTCCCTGCGTCTGGTTCGTTGGATTAGAAGCCGTGTGCGCACCGTGCCGCGCGCGCGCTCCGCTCTGGAACTGCTGCAGGCGTGCGGTGGAATCATAACGGTATGGCGGACTTAGGTCACATTGAAGTGACTGGGACACACATACACACTGATCAGAGTCCACACACAAACGCGTGGGGTTTGCTGCTTAGTGATGTGGGGGTACAGGGGACGCAGCCTCGTGGATGGAGACTCCGCAGCAGCAGTGTGAGGCTGTTTTAATCGTGTTTATCCGCATTGTTCTCAACGCGGAAGTATTCGATGATCGTTTATCACCAGATGTTTACGCAGGGAATTTAAAGTATCTCAGGTGGTTCGGTTTAATCCGTCTCCCTCTTTCTGTTTGACTTCATTCTGTCTGTATTCAGCTGAGGATGTAACATGAGAGAGATAAAAAGAAAAAGAAATGCTCCTTTATTCAAACCAGGAACTCTCTGTCTAGGAATTGCGTTATTCGGGACACGTGGGGCGTCTAGTCAGGTGTTATCTGAGGACAGAGGCGCGCGTCAACGGCGCGCACTGATCTGAACGTGGCAGGAAGGTGTTGGGCTGCTCTGCTCCACTTTCATCTTAAACTTAAAGACATCATCGTGTCCTATTTTCTCAAACCATCACACAAAAATGCGTCAGTGCAGTTCTCCTGCAACCAGTGCGCGTCCGGCTCCTCTCCTCACGGCGCCTTTTCCTGCCAGGAACCGTCTTCCTGAATATTTCTATGTGCTCTGAAGTGATTCACGATCCGACCACTTCCCTACATGGACCGGCTTCCCATTCCGAGATAGCTCAGGAAGGCAGGAGCCTGCCGGTGATCGTGCGTCACGGTGATAAAATGACGCGCTGAACTGTTGAGGGAGTAAAGTGTACAGTTCAACTCCTGTACTACGTGACTGGCCTCAGTTTGTCAATGGATCGAGTGCACGTGAGGCAGGCTGCTGCGCGCATGACATCTACCGCCTACTCATCATGCAGTGTCTATACTACAACACCAGGAGGCGACCTAGTTTCCTTTTATATGTTGTGACTGGGCAGAATTTAATTGGTGCAAAACATCAGATGCAGAAGTTTGAGATTCAATGAATCATCAACTGCTTCTGACAAAATGAATTTCAACATGTGCTGTATTTAATTATTGTTTTATTTTTTTGGTTTGACTTTGCCTTTTCCAACAGTGTGGGATGGAAAACATGCTGCATATAGAAGTGCTGTATGAATGTGTTAATGCTTCAAGTGTTTGATAAAGACTAGAAAAGCTCCACATAAATATAATCTGTTTACCATCTTTGAGATTAAACAAGATCACTTATTTTAAAACTCTTTAATATTGCTCAGATTCAAGCTTGTCAAGTCAGAAAGAACAGCCAGCTTCAACACAGACCTGCCCAACAGGTCAATATATTAATGTAAAGCATAAACCAGAAACTCTTTAACTCATATAAATCACAAAGAAAAGAAACCGCTTCTTACGTACAGCAATGACTCAGTAGGTGATCCTTTGATTCACCCTTACAGCATCTTGGATTAAGTAAATAACACACGTGTTGGTTATTGGCAACAGTATCAATGACTAAAAGCCAGCAAATAGAATATAATAAAAAATGTAATGGCAGTACTTTAAGGTTCATGGTGTTTCTGTCTGATTTCAAGTTTTTCCGCACAACTATCTGTTTCACCGAGCAGTTAAATCATTCAGTTCAACTAAAGAAAAGTAGCCCTATGATTGTGGCATATAAAGGTTGTAGCGATTTGAGAATGCCTCCTGTGGCAGAGTGCGTCTGCTTCCTTTAAAGCACAGTGCCACATTCAGTTGCATAGAACCAAACAATAACCCATGTTAGAAACGATACCAGGCCTGTCCCCTCTTGATTCATCAGCAGGAAAACAGCGTCTGTGCACAGTGAAGGAGTCAGAGGACAAGTAGCTCTTTGGACATAAAATCAAACTAATGATTGTATGTTTACAGTCAAGTCTGAAGGTAAAGCTCAGTTTGAAGGAATCTTTTCAGCAGTAGGAAAGTAAATGTAACTAGTGCACACACTTTGGTTTATAAAGCCCAGTTAAGTCATCGTACAGTCACCTGTGACCCACTGGTTCAAACACTGAGGAATCTCTGTACGCGTCCCAGTTGGTCCCTTCACTCGTCACTGAAGCGGAGTCGTTTGAACGCCTCTATAATGTCATCGTTGCTCTCCGAACCTCCCCCGGTGCCAATACGTAGCACTTTGCTGTGCGGGACATCCTGCTTCAGCTTTCGCTTGCTGAGGACCACAATGTCTTCATCCCCCTCAGTCCCAGGACCTGTCAGCAGGAAGTAGGCAGCGTGGCGCCCACGCTCCAACAGAGTGGCTGAGATAAGATCACAGATTTAGTCACACCAAAGAGCCGTTTTCTTTCTCCCTCCGAGTTATTGTTGCAGTTACGTTAAGATATGATTAAAAAGAATAGGACATTAAAGCGTACCTTTAAATGTTATGATGTGGTCCAGGACATTGGCGGACTCAAGGAGAACTTGAGAATAGAGAGGGTGCAGCATGTAAGAGCGTCGCTCACTAGTTAAAGGGATCTGGAAGGAAATATTTGAATATCAATGTTTTGTGAGTAAGTTTGTGTTCCTGAAGCAAATCTGTAACATACATCTTTTCCATTAAGGCAGTGTACTCACAGAAGAGTTGGTCTCTGTGGGCATCGTGCCCCAAAACATAAAGATTGAAACAGAAGTGGTGGTGTGTATTGAGGCGGGCCTCGGTGCGTTCGGACCAGACAAAAGACTGACTTCCCACAGCACACCACCGGACTTCCCGTCAAGGATTACTATCTTCATTTAAAACAGAAAGTGGTCAAATTAATATATTATTCAAATCAAACACCGCATGAGAGGAGGTGGACATATTGTAGATATCCCAACAGTGTTGGAACCTTTTAAACCCGACTCACCCTCTTTGTGTAGTTGCCAACATCCTCCTCAACTACAACATCAAGTACTTCGTCTTTGTTAAAGTGGCCAAAGGAGGGCTCGCTGGATGAATGAGAACACAGAGGAGAAACATTACTGGAGTAAAGTAAGAGCTTTACTTACAATATGAACATAATGCATCTACTTTCCAATTACTTAATACTCAATTAAATGTTTATCTGGCAGTGCAATATTCATTTTAGGCCCATAACCATAAGATTGATCTAATAATAGATTAAATAATAATCTTAAAAACAGACAGGCGGGATACCTGAGGACTGAGCTGGTATTGAATATCCACAGAAGCTGCAGATTTTTTCCGTCTACCAACGCCACCTCTGTGCTGGTCACAAGCAGCAGGTTTGCTGGATCATCTCTTTCTTCTCTTCTGACCACTTGATTCACTGAGTCAGACCTACAAAAGTAGAAAAGGAATATCAGCCACAGTCTCTATCATTTCAGGTTGTTCAGTGAAATAATAACAAGTACAATGAGGGCTCCTCTCACTCGTAGATAGGTACAAGGCCGGTTGCACCGCTAGCTTTTTTCTCCCAGTGTTTATCCTTCTTTAAGCTGACCTCCATCCCTGCTTTAGCCTTGGCAGCAATCCTCCACAGTGCCAGTCCATACAAGCCAGTGTCTGAATGAATACACAATAACATCAAGAGTTAAGTTTTTCCAAGTGTGTTAAATAAAATAAAATAATTATTATGACATTTCTTAACTCTGTTGATGCAGAGCAGTTCTACTACATCCTCCATCAGTTAAACTTGACTGGTGTGAATACAGATACACAGTAGTAACCTGATTGCTATGGTTGATTTCAGATACAAACCTGTTTGGAGCAGCACATAGAGAGAATCCTCTGCAGTGCGATGGAGAAGATGTTTGTGTGTCCCTGTGGATTCAAGAGACACAGTGGAACCAATCTGGACACCCGTCTTCCCTGAGAGGAACACCAGCTGAGTCTGCAGGTATGATGGGAAACATGAGACTGGCTGATTCTGTGTAAGTGCAACATTAATAGATGCCATTTGAGATCTGAGACACATGGAAACTCATTGGAATCCCAGGTGTGAACCGATGAACTCAGAGCTGTCCGCTTGTGATTAGATCCCTCAGGACAGACCTTGACGCCTCTGAACAGGGTCTATGTTATAAAAAGAGGCAAATAAATGTCTCTGTAATAAACAACACTGCTGATTTTCACCTGTGTGCTGTCAGATGCCACCAGAGCCACGTCATTGACCTTGTCCCCATCCAGATCGGGGACGCTGAGAACAGGCACAGTGCTGTGGAGACCAGAGGGCTGAGGCTGCTGCCACTTTATTTCCCCTGTACACAAACACCACACAGGAACACTCAATCTGACCGAGTTTATCACACTATACAACATCGACTACCAATTCCTTTAAGCATGACATTTCATTTTTTACTTTGGGAAAAGCAGTTTTGCTAAAGTCCACTGACTAACTTTTCTCTGAGCTTTTAACTGCATCATCATCACATGGAGTTATACTCATTATACCAGGCAGAGTACCTTTGTGCTTATTACCACCACTTGTATCTTTAATGTGTTAAATCCTTGCTTTAACTGCGTTTATTATTATGAACGTGACCTATGGACGCAGTGATAAATACAATTTTCACAAAAACACATGACTTCAGAACAATTTGCAATAGTCATATAAAAAGAAGGTTAAACATTCCACTGCTCTTTTAAAGAATAACAAACTAATTTTAAAAAGTGAAGTGAAGAAACACCTTGTTATATATATCATACAGTTAATTATATGACTATAAATGTGTTGGGATAAAAATCTATCATGAAAATGTAATTTATAGTTTTCATAACAAAGAGACAGAGATGAGTCACAAACCAGAGTGTTTGTCCACAGCGGTGATCTGGTCGGAGTGGGAGAGCAGGCAGTCCCAGGTTCTGCCTGTTGGTTTCTCCAGACCACACTGGGCCCAGTGGAACTCAGGATGCAGTGGACGCTCCCACAGGGTCTCTCCATCTGTCCCATCCACCGCCAACACAAACACACATGGCGAAGGCAGACCTGGAAAACACACACAGGGTGAATGAACACAAAACAACATCAGTCATTTAAAGCAAACATTTACATTGAGCAACAACTCTGATTGAATTAAAATTGAAAAGCCCTTCATACCTGCATTAGCACAGGTGTTGTTCACACTGCATTCTCTGGTTTTGAGCACAAACAGGACGTCCAGCACCTTGTCGCTACTCGCAGCTTCAACCGCTAAGAAATCAAAAGTTTCTGTGGCAGAGAGAGAAGAAGTCAGTCCCACATTCAAGACACTGTCGAGCAGCAAAATGCACACCATCACACACACACACCTGCTTCAGAGAAGGTCCTGTTCCAGGAAACCAGATACTGCGGTCTGACAGGACAGGGGATGATGAAGGAGAAGGCAAACACGATGGTGAGGCAGAGGAACAGGGAGAAGAAGAAGACCGCAGTTCGCCAGTGGGTCAGTTTGGCAAAACCCAGCACTTCCTTACAACTCTTCTTCTTCAGCTCTGTTGCTGATGGCGCTGGTCCCGTCTCTTCCTCTCCTCTCTTCAGAGGGTCGCCCTCAGTGGCATGGTCTGTGGTCTCCATCGTCGCCTCAAAGCATTACTGGGCCACTGATCTACCTAACACAGGAAAGAGTTAACAGTAAAACAACCCCACAGTGTAATCCTAATCTTAAAGTAACTTTACAATTCTTCTAGCTTAGTTTGTATTGTCTTATGTTGCTTTTACAATTTGTCATGATGCTTTTTGTATTTTACTCAAACCACTTTGAAATGTGCCTTACAAATAACCTTGCCTTTATATTTTTAAAGTTTCCTCGCTGGATATTAGAGAAAAACGCTGTTTTTTAATGACTCTTAAGTCTTTTAAACTGATCTACAGTTACTACAGCATTACTCTTGAACTTGCTCGACCTGATTCTGACGATGAAGGTGCAGCTATCAGACCTGTAACAGGAGATCGTACCCACTCACCAAAGTTACACAAACGGCATCATTCTCCCTATTCTGAGTCAGTGAACCATCAAACTCATTTTAATCAAGCTGCTATCTTAAAGAAAAGTTGCATAGTGTTGCTTTAAGTAACCATTTAAATACACTTTCAAAGTATGGTTAATCCAAAAATGAAAATGAGGGAGGAGTGGGTGAAGTGTTTGAGTCCACAAAACACTTATGGACTCTCAGGGGTAAACAGCGTTGCAGCCAAATCCATTACAATTAAAGTGAATGGTGGCCAGAACCCAAAAGATGCCTCCATGCTGCTCATATGGTTTCATCCAAGTGTGAAGTGAGTGACTTTTCATTTTTGGGTGAAATATCCCTTTAAGGACTCCATGGTGGATACTCCCATCGTGAGGTGCAGTTTTCTTCTGTGTCTGTCACAATATGTATGGTACACTTGCATGTGTCATAACAACGATCAATAACAAGAGACAGGCCTGCAGGCACATGATCAGACACTAAGGCAGCAGAGTCCAGCTGTTTCTGCTGCATCAACCTTTGTGGACCTGGGCCTATTCAAACGGTGCCAGCTCGGACTCCAGAGACTTCTCAGCACGAAAACAACAAACCCACGATGAATAATAATCCCCGGCCAGGCTAGCACACCCTGTTACAGCCACAGGCACATTACTACGTTTAGGAATCGCACAGGATCTAGTGTCTGGGAAATACAAACTTGAACATGTGTGTTTAAGTTAGCAAACATCCGCTGTCAAATGCACCTCAGTGAACGCACCGTGCCATGCTAGCCAGGTAGCCCGGGAGGAGGGTTTACTTTTGGGTGCAGCTATCTTCGTTAGCAGCTAAAGTTTGCAGCGAACACCTGGTTGGTTTAGAACTCGGTCCAACAAGGTGACTGAAGCTGAGAGAAGAATGAAAAGAGACTGAAGAAAAGTTTGTTCTTACTTACTTCCCACGGCTGTCCTGAGATCAGCGGCGCTAACGCAGACACCGAGGCCTGACACAGAGCGACCGAGCTGCCTGTCAACCTCAGTAAACAAAGCACACACGGGTCGGAACCGCTTCTGTTTGGCTGCCAGGTGGCGCTCTGTCGTCCGTTAAAGTGACATTAAAGTGGCCACAGCTTCATCTACGACCCAAGCTTTAACAGAACCCCCCTGTGACCTGAACCCGGTCCTGACACTGAGTGAGAGGGGCTCACCTTCTGTGATAGCTGCTGCCTGTCAGGTCAAACTCAGGGAAAAACAGATTGTGAGGATCCGGAGTTTAGTTAAAGAAGCTTTGATTGGTCACTTCACTTGTCCGCCAATGACGGGCCAGTTTCGGATCTAGGACCCGCCCCTCACCCTGACGCCTGTTAACCGGTGTCGTGCAGAGTTCCGCCGGAGCGCGGAGAATCGCGTGCGCCTCGCGGGAGCGCGCACAACCGCAGCGGAAAGACGCTTCCAGTCTCAATAATCTCCATGGCAACGAAATACTGTACAACCTGTTTGTTGGAGTCATCAGTGATTTATAGACTCAGCTGAAGACTCATCTCCTCGAGATTCGTCTGATCAGTCGATGTTTCTGAGGACGGTTAACACGTGAAATGTAATATTTACACAGGTAGTTCAGCATTACTGACACTTTACAGCTGAGTCAAACATCTAAAAAGTCTGTTTTGACTCAACATTGAGAATTTCACACATCCGACACTCATCTAATGTAAGAAAAGAAGGGGATGCAAATCCTAGCGATTCATCAAATACACAACTACAAAAAAATGCATTCACAATATAAACTTTATTTCTAGAGATCTATAAACTACTAGTAGTTTAAAATACTTTTTTAGATGTTTGACAGGACAATCAGGTCAATAATGCTGAAATAGCTGTGTATACATTACATGGCAGCAGTTCAACAATAACTAACGACACAAGAAATATCAGCCACAGTCTCGATCACAAGCTTTATTAGACTGAGTTGGACAGTTTTGTTTTTTCCACATTTTAATGCCAACATCCTCAGAAATATTGACTGATCAGACTAACGCGAGGAAAAGTGTCTCCACCTGAGTCTCAAACATCATCAGTGACTCTGAACATCATGAACAACAAGCATCGGATCATTTATCATCGTTAACAAACACCGACAAGCGAGATTATATAGTTTAGCTTGGCGCGCTCCCGCGAGGTGCATGCGATTCTCAACGGGCATGCGGATTTCGGCAGAACACCGGAACCACTGGTTGTGTCGTCACTTCCCCTGTGTGAAACGGAAACAGACGAATCCACGAAATCGAGAAAAGCTGCGAGAGGTGATGCTTGGACGAACCCAGTATCACACATCACCTGAACGGAACACCGAGGAGCCGCGCTCTGTTTTCTAACCTGTACACAGCGCCGTCGACGGAAGGCCCACAGATGTCCGCCCAGGCTCAAATGCGGGCTCTGCTCGACCAGCTGATGGGGACAGCGAGGGATGGTGAGTTGCTGTAGCATGCTAGCTGAGCTAGCATAGCCAAGATGGAGCCACCGCTGAGGCTGGCTGCTGTTGTCGTGTGATGGACAGACCTGCATGAATGGATGTACTAAAGAGGGCTGCGTTAAGTACCGCACAGTTAGACTCGAAGAGCTCTAACGGATTAACACACGACTTTAATGTTTGCATCCATGAATCTAAAGATATTGAGGTTTCGCTTTTGTCGCTCTGAAAGTGAACCTTAAACGTAGCTCGTGGCTAACTTAGCAGATGCTAGTGTTTAGTGTGAAGTTATGGACCCTCCGCTGCTTTGCTGCTTTTCTACACTGAACGATGCACAACAACTAATTAGAGCATTAATATAGTTATTAATATACGTGTGACCTTAACTCTACTACTTTACAATTACAATGATCATTGATGCAGCTTCAACAAACAAGTCGGTTATATTGGGCCTTCACGGTGTGTCTATTATTGGGCTAAAGAATTGCATTTACATTTAATTTGCTATTACTGAAAAATCTCCTTAAGGAATGAGGTATTTTCAATGCAGCGCATGTAAAGCATAGTCATTGTCCATATACGTCATATTTGCACGAAGAAAATAAACTGAAAGAAAAGGATAAAACTGTCTAAATCAATTGGAACCCCGGTTCATTTTTGTAAACATCCAATTTCCAGATCTAGACATGACATCATAATCTTACTAAATTATTAAATAACCGTTTATTACGCAGTACAATGCTCCTTGTTTGTGTAATGTTATAACCACATTTAGTTAATGTACTAGAAGTATTTAGATGTTGCTGCTTTTATATTGTTAACAGTGCATTGTATCAAATATCTTCAGTTTATTCCATGTTTTATATAAAAAAATCACGTGTGTATGTATGCCATGCATATGTATGTCATCTGTAAGATGATTATACGGACTGAATGTTCAATATTTGAAATGTTGTAGTAAAAACATCAAGGTACAAAGGTAAATAAAATTGGAATTGGTTTTGCTGAAATTGTGTAAAAATGGATATGATAGCCGTGTTTTTCCCCTCTGCTTCAGATTGCATTGTTGTGTAGAATCTATAAACATAATAACAGTAATGTAAAACTTATGTCTGAGACCTAACCAATGTATTGCACACGGCAAGTGCAAATCTGTTATCTCTTAATGCTAATATATACTTTTGGTATTAACTTTCAGCCATTTGGATGCAAACATTAAAAGATGAATCAGCTGTCAAGTCTGGTTTCCATTAGCAGAACATGACAGCTTGCTGCTGTCATGTTATTTAATAAAAAGGAGATGCATCATGTCGGTAGAATAAACTTGCAGCCCTTTAGATTATGTTTTAACAAATTGTTAATTCGATTTGTACTGTAAGAGTTACTTTGTGTTGTGAGTTTGTGGGTGTATGTGTGATGACATTGATATCAAATTCTTCCCATACATTTGTTGCATACAAACTGAACAATTGTGGCCCCTTTATTTTATTCATTAAGGTTCAGTGTATCTTTGCCAGCCTACATCAATCTGCAAAGGAGTTGCAGAAAAGCCTCATGTTCATCGAGCCGTGAGTCACACATAATTTTTAAAGCTGTTATGATGAATATCCAAACGATTTGTTTGCCTTTCGGAAGTTATTGTAGCCATTTTGTAATCACACAAATGGGTTAATCTTCAGTGGCACTAGAATGACAATTTGGAGTAGTACTATACAGTCTGAGATAAGACGTCTGGTTCCGCTGAAGCCAAAGGAGAAGTTCTCAAATTCCCATTAGACGTCTTGTTTTTCAGAAGGCATTTTTTGCATTCAGTCGAAACAAAAACTTTGCACACATCCTTTTCAATCTGACTTGTGTATGACTCCCAACTTCTTACTACAGGTATGGGCAAGAAAACTGTTCCCATTTATACTTTTCTACAGCGGGTTTAAAATTCTGCAGCTGAGGTCTTGAAGATGCAGAAGGGTACAGTATGTGGTGCAGATCGCAGTGTGTATAAACCCATTTTTTCCCTTGGATTTCTTTTGTATTTTTTTGTATTTTTTTTTTCACGTTTCTAATATTTGTAAAGGTCTTTGCTGGAATATTTGTCTGACATGTTTACATTTTACTGTCATAGTCTTAGCAGCAGGCTTTCCTGCATAGTACCATTTCCAACTACAAGGTCATGGTAATCCAAAACAGCCATAGGTAACAAATATAACATATTGTGTCCCTCTTGTCTTCATCTTTTGTTGCTCCACATTTAAAGAGTGGACGTTGAGCCTGATCGCAAGTTAAACGGAACAGAGGCTCTAATATTTCCACATTTTTATCAAGGTGTGGGTAAGGTAAACACAGGTAAAAACGCAGAGCTACATCTACCTTTTGCATTGTCACATAATTAAACATAGCCCACTACACACACAGTTAGTTTGTTGCAGGTAAATGTAATGTCGCATTAATAAAATATGTAAAACTCCAGATATATAACAATTGGATTTCACACAAATGCAGGTATTTTGACAAACATGCAGAATTTTTTTTACTGCAGTATAGTAATATGTACTAAACCATTGGAAACCTCGCACCTGCTACCAAGTATGTGAGGTCTTTCTCACTGGTTGTTTTCTTGATTATTTCAGGGGATGAGACGAGGCAGAGGGTCAAGTTCACTGACGAGCGAGTCTGCAAAAGTCATCTTCTCAACTGCTGTCCACATGACATCCTGTCTGGAACTGTGAGTTGGCTGCATTTCTGTTTTTAGCTTCACCATACTATACAAATATGTATACTTTAAAATGCTGGAATATATCACCATTTAAAAGCACATTTGACTCCTCACAGGATATTAATTCTCTTGGCAGTCAAATACTACAAAGAGGAAGGAAAAACAAATATGTACCATAATTTATTTATACAACATCATTCATTGATATTTGCGTGTGTGTGACGTCTGCCTTTGTCTTGGTGATAGCGTATGGACCTGGGAGAGTGTACGAAGATCCATGACCTCGCACTTCGGGCAGATTATGAAATTGCCTCCAAGGAGAGAGATCTGTTCTTTGAGCTTGATGTAAGTGATATCCTTCTATGAATAATACATGTTTGCTGATCTGTTCACACTAACTGCAGTTTTTAAATCTCAAATCTTATATCCTTAGATATAAATGTAGATGTTTTATTAAAATTTCATATCGAATGTGGAGAAATAGGTTTTACAGCATTCTTAATGATAGAGGACTTACTTGCTATCAACAGATATTTTTTACTGTCGTAAAATTCGTACAACACACTCCAGTTCTCACTGCCTCAAGATCAACAGATCTTTATTGTGGAGGATGTACATTTATCCTTTATGAAGTATTTTTCATTTAGACCTACGCCCTAAAAGCAAGCAAGCTGAGATGGATTGCGTCAATAGATAGAAAGATAAAACACAGTTAAGCTTACCCATTTCCCATTAGCAGTTGCCATAAGCAACCAAGGCCATAAAAGATATGATAAACTGAGCCTCGGGGAAGGGAAGTGATAACACTGGTCCTGTGATCCCTTCAGGGACATAAAATACACTTGATTTATACACATATATGATGTATGCAGAGTTGACAATCAGCACCTCATTAATAACCTGGAGATTAAAATGTCTTAGAAAGTAAGAATCTGCGCTGCCTTCCTGTGAACATATTTTCTCACTCTGAAAGGCCGTGGATCACCTGGAGTCATTCATTGCCGACTGTGACCGGAGGACAGAACTAGCCAAAAAGCGCCTCGCTGAGACCCAAGAAGAGATCAGTGCTGAGGTGGCAGCAAAGGTGAGCAAACAGAATTTTAAGAAGACATTTTTACACCTGTTTCATATGTATAGACTTTTTTAGGAATGCACTGTTCAATTTGCTCTTTAATGTTTTGTGCAGGAAATAGCCAGATGTGAATTGTGTTGTTCTGGACTGTTGTAGGCAGAGAAGGTTCATGAGCTGAATGAGGAAATAGGAAAGCTGCTGGCCAAGGCTGAGCAGCTTGGAGCCGAGGGAAACGTGGACGAGGCCCAGAAGGTCCTGCAGGAGGTGGAGAAGGTCCGCACCAGGAAGAAGGATGCAGAGGTGAGGAAGTAACAACGCAGGAAATGGAGTGTGACACCTATTTTTATATCAATACATTTATCATCTGATCCCTCAATGTTCTTTCTTGTCTGTGTCTCCTCAGGAAGAGTACAGAAACTCGATGCCAGCCTCCAGCTTCCAGCAGCAGAAGCTTCGGGTGTGCGAGGTATGCTCTGCCTACCTGGGTCTCCATGACAACGACCGTCGCTTGGCCGACCATTTTGGTGGGAAGCTTCACCTTGGCTTCATCCAGATCAGAGAAAAACTGGACCAACTAAAGGTATATTTCTGCCTGTCTCACCATGTAAAAGTTCTGTGATTGACATTGAGCTGAAAACAAAACACACAGAGGTTTGGATCAAGATGTTTAACTTCTTAACGGGTCGTTTGGTTTTATTTTATCAGAAAACTGTGGTTGACAAGCAGGAGAAAAGGAACCAGGAACGCTTAAAGAGACGAGAAGAGAGGGAGAAAGAGGAACGGATGAAGAAGAGGTGGGTGCAAACATTTCAAATTCTTCAAGGAATTTTATTTGTTGTATTCAGCGTATTTTTTTTATTATATAAGCATGTGGTTTTGTTCTCTGCTTATTTCTTAGGACCAGATCACGAAGCAGAGAGCAAAAAAGGTGAGAGCGTTGTGCTGCTCTGATGGAAAAGTGCCGTTTGTGATCTTATTATAACCAAGTGTTATCGCTCACTCTCATCAGATCCCGTTCTCGTGACCGCAGGAGGCGGCGCTCGAGCTCCTCATCACGAGACAAGCGCCGTTCACGCTCCAGGGAGAGGAGGAGGCGGCATCGCAGCCGATCCCGCTCCCGCAGCCGAGGCCACCGTCACAGCCATGAGCAGAGCTCCAGACACAAGTTTGTACACAACCCACTGAGTTCACACCAGGCCCACACAGACTTTTGCTCCAAGGCACTTAACAGGAGTTGGATGTGTTGTTTTTTTTTTTTTGTCTGTCACAGTTGCAGCCTTTTCTCAAATAATCTTTCCTAGACTTGTTTATAAGAATAAACAGTGAGTTTGTATCTTTTTTTCGTGACAGACATGCACAGGCAAGATTTGACTCTATTTTCTTTGGATTAGTGTTGCCTCTCTGAATATCTGGTCTTGTCGCGCAGGTCTTCCAGGGACCGAGAGCGCGCGTCCAGAGACGGGTCACGGGAGCGAGACAGGAGGGACGGTATGAACGGTCGGTCAGACTCCCGCCGAGCAGACGACAGGGACATGGGGGACCTCTGAAGACCCAACTCCATCCACCACCGACACATTCTCCTCCTGTCCCTCTGGTTAATGTAACCTAATGTTACACACAGTCTTTGCCTTGACCCCTTTGTTCTCCCGCCTGCCTACTTTCTTTGCTTTAACAGTTAATGCAGCCGGCACAGAGTGCACACATACCTGAAATAATGTATGGAGTCACTTATCTAGCATCCAGATACATCTGATTGCATTCAGATGGCAGGATTAGTTATTGATCAGTAGTGGAGTGTACATCTGTAATTTGGTGGCTGTCTGTCCAACACGTCCCATGTCTTGTTCTGAACTCCCGTACATTGATTCCAACAGATGCAGAATACATGAGCTGATGAACTGCTGGATTATATCATGAAATGGAACCGATCCATATTCGTCATTCATTATTATTGGCGGATGATCTTTTGATACAGAACCAGTCTGTAAATATGGGCCTACTGATTGTCTCGGTCTAATTAGCCTCATCCAATCCTGATTTATTTTTTTTTGTAAATCTCCCTCGTCTTTGAGTTTAGTTCTTGAATGTTTGTTGACATATTTGACTCCAGTAATTGGTCGAAATTGAAGGGTTGAAAATGAGTCGTATTAGCAACAAATATAACTCGCATTGTCCACATCAAGTTTTCTTCTCCGCTGCCAGTTGTGAAGGGAATCTGTTCAGTTCTGCCAGTTTATGTAACTGCTTGTTTTTAGTTTGTATTGGTGGCAGTCTCTCTTGTTTAAACAGTTTGTTCTAGCCTGATTTCCTTTTATTTAAAATATTGAGTATAAATGGAAACTTCCACATTAGCACCGGCATGTGAAGCAGTAGGCTCAGAAATGACACATCTGAAATTCAGTGCTAAAGCTGTGTACACGTTGTGGCTCGAGTCAAAGTTGAACGTATGCCTGGTTCAAACAAATTCCTTTGTGTGTAGATTTATATTTCAATGCAGACAGATTTGAATGGATGCATTGCTTTACCTAATGTGTGAAGTCATGTGTTTATGTTGGAAATCTTTCTTTTAAGTCTCAATTAAAAACTACCATTTTACTTTTTATTGTGTCATGGCATGTTAATCATGGTTGAAGTATTTTACAAAGATGTGTATCATTGGAGCTGGAAAGAAAACTATTCACATTTAAGACAAGCATCATAATTTAAAAATGTGTGTTTTAATGTTAGACTGTGTAGTTTGCACAGCGCCTGCTTGGATTAAAAACACTTGATAAAGTAATAACATTTGAGTGAGCATGACAATCTTCAGGCAGTCTTTGATTATAGATTGGCTGTTACATGTTTGCTCTCTGAATATAATTTAAAAATTTAGTGACAGCTGCAGCACCAGGCGAACAATCCTTCATGTGACTCTTCATGCTGAAGACGCCTGCGGCTCACAGTGTGCTGCTCTCCAGCTTCAGATCAACCTTCATCTTCTGTTTCTCCATGACCGCCTCCAACTCTGTGGACCTTCTGGCATCCTGCACAGGAAACAACCAAATAATGACAAATGAAGCTTGAGATCCATTGCATCTCCAAAAAATTATAATAGACAATTGATAGGATCATGTGTATATATATATATATACACACACATAATTTACCTGGTAAAATTATGCATTTTGATAAACTATTGCACAGTAAAAGATGGTGTGTGCATTAAAAATTGTCAAGTAATTCATGGATCTTGATTGGAAAAAAGATTCAGGCATGTCTACATGACTAAAATCTATGGGTGTGAGCATATTTTTTTTTTTATTTAAATGTGCCATCTTACTTAAATAACATAATCTGCATTTCAAATCTCATGGATGAGTATATAAAGTAACTGATTCTCATTAAAATATCGCATATATTATCATAATGGGATACTTTTCAGGATAGAAGATTGCAAACATTGGCTGATTCTTACTGAACTTAAAGGATGTGCTATGGAAGTAACTTCAGGGGTTTGGGGACTACAACTTTGGTCACTTCAGCATTTAACAATATAATTTCTTCTCTAGTAAAATCCACTGTTGTCCTTGGCTTTACCTCCAGCAGTGATTTCTGCACAGTGAGCTGACTGTAGACTCTTGCGCCCTCGTCTGGAATCACAGCTCGTAGCTCCTCCTTGTTGAGGGAGAAGAGCTGAGCCCCTGTCAGCACTCCCAGACACGACACAGTCCTGAGAGACACGAAGACACAAGAGGACCCCAGACAATTAATTCTCCAGTACACAGTTTTCATCCATATAAACCATACACAAGAAATGAGCCTTTACACTTTAATTCATGTCAAATGAAGGAGGCCATTTGTCTCGACCTAAGTGTGTTGGCAGCACTCCAGTGTATCAACAGTGAGTCTGTAGCCATCACTCACGGTTCACTGAAGCCTTTTCCTCGGAGCCACTCCGCCACTTCCTCAGGGGGAGAGTGGTAGTCCAGAGGGACGGCGGTCTCTGAGGAGCGAGGGATGACCAGAGGTTTGTGCAGGTTGGGCTTTCCGTTGGTCAGCCTCTGGAGCAGCTCGTCATTCACCAGCATCACTGCAAAGATTCAAGGAGACATTTCAGCCTCTCATGCAGATAATGTGACAACAGAAAGAAAGCTGGGCTGCATACAACTCAAATATTCCAGAGATAACTAATCATTAAACAATACACAGTTTATGTGCCTGTTCTCTAATGCAGCTGTCTACTACATCATTAACTGCCTACAGTGTATTCTGTTTAATACAAGAATATACAGACTCTGCAGATGATGTTAATTAATATCAATAATATTTAGCTGAGTCGTGATGATTGATGGCCTCTTGGGTGTAATGCAATGCATTCTTAAAATCAGATATAAATAAGTATATGTACTTTGTTACATTCAACCCCTGCTTTTAATAATGTTCAATAATTCTTTTTTTATCGAACTATTTATTATTCCTCTGGTCCCTGTCATTTTTGTCCAGACCTCCAGTACTCCCATAGTTTTGGTAAATCTTGGTAGTTAGTCTATTTTCTTTTTCATAAACTTTCTTGTGTTTATACTCGGTCCTCTTTTCATGTTGTAGCTACAAGGTTGAGCCATATTTCACCTTTGCACAGTTTGTGGCCGTGACAGTGGTAAAGTAGGATGTGGTAGCATTTCTTCTGCTACTATCCATCCTTCACTTTTTGTCTTTTCACATACACATAGACAGTCCAGTCCCTATAGTAAACCTCTTCATCACAGAATTTATGTGTCACACTGTTTTGGTACCTTTATCTGAGTCCTCTGCAGACTGCACGTGTTGGTTGTATACTGGTATGCTGCGGGGGTGCTGTGGGGAGTGGGTCGGGGCCTGGGGCATGGCAGGAGGGCTTGGTGGGACCACAGAGAAAGTCTTGGCGAGGGGAGGCGGAGCGGGAGCCTGCAGGAGTTTGGAGCAAAGAGAAAAGCAAACACTTGAATTTACTCAGGCATGTACAGGTGAGAGCCTGCCTCTTTGCTGATGACATCCATGTGTGTGTGTGTGTGTGTGTGTGTGTATAAATGCATGTGTATGTTGTGCTTCTTACACTGGGGGGTCTGTTGGTGATGGGGCTGTTTATGTGGGCCATGGGCTCCAGGATGTTGAAGGGGACAAATCCGATCTGGTTGTAGCTGTTACGACACTTCCACCAGCGCTTTGAGGATTCAACCACCTGTCAGACAGAGGAGATGCTGTCAGTCAGGGTTATCTATCTATCTATCTATCTATCTATCTATCCAGAAATTCCTCTGTCAGCACTATTCACAGGATGTCAGTGTTTTTACAACTGTAAAACACAATTAAATAATTTTGCAAACTGTAAAATAGTAAAATAATCCCAAACAATAATGAAGAAGCTTAATGCTGGATTCCTGAACATGTAGCTGTTCATGATCTGCTTGGCTTTATATACCTCCAGCTTCTCCCCCTGCTGCACCGACAGCTCGCTGCTGTTCCTGGCTATGAAGTCGTAACTGCAGGTGTAGAGTCTTTCAGGATCCGGTGGGAGTGGGCTGGAGTCTCTGAGAGGGAGAGGACACACACGCTGGTGTCATGCACATGGTGGGAAAATAAGAACAACTGACTGACTTGCTTTTTCGAAATAGGACCTACGTCTCGTCTCTGACAAGGGTACCAGGAGGAGGGACAGGCTGAGAAGGCAGCTGCTGCTTGGGGGCAAAGACAAGATGGACGTGTGGGTATACAGCATGAGAACACACAGGTGTAGAAAAAGAGGTCAAAGGTCAACATGCAGAGGGACAGGGGTGGTTGACAAAATGTCTCATCTGCAATGTGTTGAACTTTTGCAAGAAGAGATTAAAGATGACTCAGATGATTTTCTTTTTATCTGATGTGTGAAGTACATTCATTACAGCAGGTACAATTCAGACAGAGACCTGTAAACATGCAGCCTGAAAATCAACAGCCATTCCTATAGCAAGCATACATAACGTGGAGCCCTGGAGGAATGGAGGGAAAGCTGCATGATTTTTTTTTCACCCTGGTTCGACAGGTTTGTATTCGCAGACTAATTTATTTAAAACCATTTAAAAAGAAAATTAAAAAACAGCTCCGGGCCAAAATGTCTGCTGCCAAATGTTAATGTCTTGAATTTGTGGCACGAGCAAGTGTCTCACGAGAGTCTGTGACTTTGTGCATTTATATTTCTGTGCAGACACAAATACAAAGTCTCCATGAAAACTGCATCAAGACACTTTCTATTATACAAATTTAAGAAACAAACTCAATTTATGGGACAATTTTGTAGGGACAAAACATCTTTATAACAGAGAACTTATGTTTTTTTCATGCTGAAGAAAACTCCAATCTCCAGCACACTGCTGTGTTGCAGCTCTACTACTTATTGCACTTGATATTTACGTGTGCTGTATTTTCCTAAACGCAGGTATTCCGTACCTCTTGTTTTACTCGGAGGGCTTCATGTTTGTGCTGTGACTCGACCGGATCTTCCCAAACCTGCCCGTCTTCCCTCAGGGCTTCTGGTTTCCAGCCGTCCAAGAACACAGGTGTGTACGGAGCGACAGGTCCTCTGAGCTGAGAGCTGAGAAAGCAAAAACCGATACTGGATAAGCACAGGAATGTGTTTATATGTGCATGTGTATGTATGTGTGTATATGTGTGTATGTATATATGTAATGTTTTGTCTTTAAAGGATGCATGGGCCATGGAAGACTCTTGTTTAAACTCACAGTAAAAATACCTTAACTACATAATGAAATGTTGGCTCTATTTTCCAGGATGGTGTAGCGAATAATCACATAAATAAAAACATTATTTTATTTTACTTTATGAAAAAGGCCACTGTAAGATGGAGGTGTTTGTTGGTACTGACCGAGAGTGTGTCCAGTTGGGACCCAGCGACGTCCACAGCTGCCTCTCCTCCGCGCTCAGGTTGTCCTCCAGCAGCGACACAGCAGAGTTGGTCATGGAGGGGCTGGACACTGAGGCTCCCAGAGCTGGTCCTCCTGTTGTTTTCACCATCTGTCCGCACCCAGAGAACAACAAAACGTGTTAATGCCCACAGTCTGCGAAAACCGGCCTGATACTCAAAGTCCAACTGAAGCAAGAGAGTCGAAAGAAAACTTTGTGTTAGAAAACTGATAATCAAAGCAGAGTGACACAAATCACACACAAAAAACCACAGACACACACACACACACTAAAATAAGAGACAGTTCATGAGGTGTGGGGCTCTGTGTTTTCCATTCAGGCACGCCAGTATACACAAATCAAACACACCCATTCCACCCTTTGAGTGTTTAAACTGATTCATTCCTATAGAAATGCTGAGGCACCGACCTTTAATGTTTTATCAAATATCAACACAGACACACCTGAAACACCAAACACAATATACTTTTGAAATTAGTTCAATAGTGACATGTTCCCGGATTCAAATTCTCTATGTTTCCTCTGATAGGGGCCACTCCATTGTTGGAAACTTCCCTGTCATGACAATAAAATAAATGTAAGTAAAGGTAATATTTCGTCATTTCAGTTTCTAAATCAATAGCACTTGCATTATTGTGTCCAGGTAAAATCTGGAACAAAGGCT